GTTGCAGTTCATGTGTGAGAACTCAAGTATGCGATTACAGAAGTTTTCTTAGATCAAATTTAGTTTGATTTAACACAAATGTTTTTGTAAACTTTGGCAAGCTATTGGGGAAAAGCTCAGATAAAAGCCTTATTTCACGATACACTAAAATATATACAAAATAATTTAAATGTATATGAGATCTATATATATACACACACGTATATAATTACTAATAATAACTAGAATAAAGACAAATTTGATTTCATTATCCATGAATCCTTATTCTAGAGGTCTAGGTAAGCATAAAAGCAGGGGAAAATTTTTATTTTTTTCTTAATTTCAAGACCAGCTTTGTCACAAGGAAAAAATGTTCAAAGGAAAATATTCCCAGATTTATTCATATTCATTAATTCAGCAAAAATGTATTCCACAGCAGGTGCTAGGAAGACAAAATGAACCAGACCGGAATGTCCCACTTTCATGGCAGGGTGTGCATTTGCTTAGGGAGAGTCGGATGGTGACAGAAACTGTCCAGAGGATTAAAAGTCATTAATGTGTCAACAAATGCCTGGTTGGCCAGAGAAGACTCTCTTGGGAGAAAAGGAGAGGAAGAGGGAGGGAGTGACAGTTAAACTGAGAAAAAGTGATAAGAAGTCAGTGGAGTAAAAATCTGGGGGATTCCTTTCAAGTAGAAGACACAGCCAGTGTGAATATTTTGGGGCAGCTTGGAGTTGGTGAACCAAAGGTAGGAAATCAAATATTGTCCTTGTCAATCTGTTCATGATGACAGTCAGTGTCACATGGATGCAGGGTGTGGAAGACAGACACATCCCAGCCCTGCAGGTCAGTGTTGACAGGAGTATATTTTCCACAAGTAGCCGTTGTCTTGCGTCTGGGTTCACAGATACAGGGCTCTCTGTTGAATACATGAATGAGTATTTCTAGTGAGACACGGTCCTGTGAATATACTTTTGGTTGTTTCTCGGCTTCACAAGGAAACACTTCAGATCTGACATGTATGAACAGGAACCTGTTTTGGGCATAACTGTAGAGAAGTGAGAAGTCCCTTTGACATTTTCAAGGGTGACCATAGAAGAACATGGCCCAACCAAGTTGAGTGGTTTAGCTTCTCCCCAACTTTCACCTTTCTTGTCTCAAAAATAAGGATAAAATGAAATGCATACATACAGAATGCTAGGCTATGCTATGGCAAGGCCAAGGGAATGGCAAGGCTAAGGGAATGGCAAGGTGAGCCTGTATAGCCAGATCCAATCCAGGCCTGTCTGCCAGTGGTCTGCACCTGGTGGCAGTTGCCCACTGCAGCGTCAGCATGAATGTGGACGGTTCTGGCTCATCAGCTGTCCAGGACACCAGGAGAGCACCAGCACATCTAAGAACCTCCGGTGCAAATGCATGCCAGACTCCTTTTAGTGCTTGACAGGGAGAATACTGGGAGGGGAACCTACCCTTTATCCCCCATCCTGTTGTGGAGAAGAGGTGGCCTGCTGTGTCCACACCTTGCCTCACCCTCTCTCCTCACACCTGAAAAGATGTCCACCTTAGCCCCCAACCCAGGAAAAGCATGGATCACCCATTATTTGTGTCTCAGTGTTTCTGCAGGGCTTTACTCTGAGAAGTGAAGAAGAACAGGTGCGTAAAGCGCCTAGCATAGAAAAAGAAAGAGGAGCTCTGGAAATAAAGAAAGAGAAACATAAGGAGGAGAAAGGAAGATAATACAGGGTCTGATGGTGGAATGTCCCTGGGAGGACTTCTGTCTTGCCTAGGGATCCAGCACTTGTGTCAAAATTGAGGGAAGGCAGGGAGAAATGAGTGGCTGGCAGTCAGCAGGCCCCTGGCGCCCTGGAGCCTCATAGCTGGCACCTCCTCCTCCCACAAAAACGAGCACAGGCAGCCCCTCACAATGCCACCACAGATCCCCCAGGTTGGGTTGGCAGTGCCAGGAGGAGGGTCCGTCTCCTTCTGGGAGTGGCATTATCCTTTCTGGTTCCTACCATGCCTCCTAACCATGCCAGAAGAGGGTTTGAACACAATGGCCTTGCTGCACACAGGGATTGCTTAGAGGCAAGAAGGTTGAAGCTGAGGCCTGAGTGGACAGAGGAGAGCACTGACCAGCAGGTGAGATCTTGCCTGGGCCTTATAGTCTGGGTGGTGCCAGGGGGAGTGAGGTGGGGCTTTGAGCCCCCCTGACAGAGCCACCTCTGTGAGGCCGGGACTGTGGCCCAGACATCCTGATGAAGTGTCCTGTGTTCTGGGTCCAGTTGGCCTGTAGTCAGGGGGCAGTGGCGGGTGGAATACGGTACTGAGACTTCTTGGGCCCAAAGGAGAAGTGGAAAGAAATTGTCCCTGTGCCTCCAGACTGAGGTCTGGGCCAAGCCCATGGACTCTCTGGTCACTCTTGCTCTGTGCTCAGCCTTGAACTTGGTGTGTGACCTGGGGCAGGGAAGTTGAGGGTTTCATGATGTGAAGGAGCCCCCAGTTCTGTGCTGCAAGGAGAGAGAGAGGCTGTCTGGAGAAAGAGAAAGAGGCTCAGCTCTAGTGCCCTGGAGCTTTGGGTCCAGGGTGCTCCCCTTCAGAGAAGGCAGCTTGTCAAAGGCAGCATCAGAGCTCAGGATGGCTGGGCTTGGACATGCAACTTGGAGAGGTGAGGAGCAGAGCACTTAAGGCAGAGGAGTAGAGCCCTCAAGGCAGAGGAGCAAGGGAAGGTGCCAGGGCATGGCCAGTTCTTCTAGTAGCCAGGCTATGATTGCCTGAAGGCAGGGGGTGGAGACCCCAGGAGCCTGGCAGGGGAAGGTCTGGCGTGCAGGCTGGTTGGAAGGACTGGATCCTGCCAGCAGTGCAGAGCTTCTCTGGAGGGTGTGAGCTGGGAGGGAAGATGGTCCTGGGAGGACTAAATTTGGGGATGGGCGGAGCCAGGGAGAGCAGGCTGACACACTTGGACTGTACTAAGAAGGAAGCCTGAATCCCCTGAACAGGTGGCAGGAGCCCAATCGGGCACAGAGGAGGGTGGACAGGCAGCTGCAGACACAGGTGGCTCAGGACAGGGTGTGAGGGGGCACAAGAGGAAAGTGAGCATCATCCTGGATGGGGACTAGCAGGGCAGGTGCAGGAGAGGGCAGGTCCCAGGACGGGGTCTAGAGGGGAGAAGGGCCTCTGTCAGTAAGAGAGGGACCGTCTCCATAAGGGAATCCAGCATTTGAGGCACTTGTCACTCACATGCCCAAGGGGAGGCTTTATGCGTGAATGACAGGTTCAAGCAAGCTCAAAGTCTGCAAGCTCTGGGGAACACCTGTGAGGAATGGAGGGTTTCCTGGCGACCATCAGGCTGAGATTGGCCTGGCAGGGAACCGCTGGAATTCCAGAAAGCCTGGGAAGGGTGGCCTTGAGTGGAGAAGGAGCTGAGCAGGCCCCACGCCAGGGAAGCCACAGGCGTTGATGGGCTGCTGCTCCTGCCGTGGTCTGTGGGTATCATCAGCGCCACATCACAGATGGGGAGGTCGAGGTGAAGTGGCGTATGCCCACCGGCATCCTGGGAGCCTGCTGCAGCCCTCCAGCCACAGATGTGGAAGGGGATGCAGTTACAGTCCTCATGCATGCAGAGCAGGGACAGGCACATCTAGAGGGACAGGGCGATTCCCACAACGGGCTCAGCCTTCTGCCAGCACATGACCAGAAAGACCAAGCAGGGTGGTCACTTTAGCTGGGAGCAAGGATAAGGGGCTTCCTGGAGGAAGCCACTCGGGAGCTGAGTCTGAAAAGGTGAGCGGCAGTTCACTGGGCAGACAAGGTTAAGAAAAGCATTCCAGAAACAGAGGACATCCTAGGCAAATTGGGAAATGGGAGAGCTGAGGGGCTCTGAGAAAGATTGTTATCTAATTCACTGCCTGCTAAACCCCCAAGAGAACAGCCTTGGGGAAACTGAACAATTATCCTTGAAAAGGCCAGGCTTTCAATTTGCTTTCGTGCTTACAAGATGGTTTCTGGAGCTCCAGGCATCACACTCATACTCCAGGCAGAAAGAAGAAGGAAAAAGGGAAAGCAGGCTTCTTTAAAGCAATGCCCAACAGTTCCTATTTATACTCCATTGCCAGAATGCATTCACGTGGCCATGCTGTTCAGTAAGGGAGACTGGGAAAAGGTCATTTTACATTGCCTCTCTTAACAAAATCAGGTCTCATTAGTAAGGAAGACAGGAAGAATAGACTTCGGGTGACCAATCAGTGTTTAGTATTGCTGGACTCATGTGAGAGATGGAAAAGCCATTCCCAAGAGGCTGATTGGCTTGCCTGTGGTTAGAGGCTGGAATGAACCCCAGTCCCTTTGTCCTTACTTAAAGTGACCCTGAGGGCCTTTTTGAAAGGCCCTGATCAAGTCTTCAGACAGGGTTGCCCCGATCATGAGCATAAGAAACCAGCAGAGAGAAAGGCATCGCAGACTTGCAGCTGTGTGGGTGGTGGGTTGGCTACACTGGTGTGTGCCCAGGATGAAAGCAAAGCAGCTGGTTCTGCAAGACAGAATTAGCTGTTCCTACGGGTCTGGATCATCCTCTTCCCAAACTAAGGGAACCGTTGAGCTGCTGCCTTCTCAGCTCGTCACCCACCCAGGGGTCCCTGGAGCCAGCCTTGAGGGCTGTGGTGAGTGCTCATCCCTTCCACATGCTCATTAGAGCCTTCCAGGCCATGCTGGGGCGCAGAGGTAATTGGGGCCTCCTCTTGACTCCCAGGGGGAAGAAGACAAGTTCAACCCCAAGTGAGGGAGTCCAGAGTCAGAGACCCAGGGCTGCCCAGAGAGGAAGGGGGGACTTTTGACACTTGAGCTAGGTCTGGACGGAGGAGTCCAGGCTGGAGGCAGCACCTAGGGGAGAGAGGAGGAGCACAGCAAGGCCCACCCTGTGGGTCCCGATGGGTCCTGGCCCCACCCCTTGAGCCAGGCAGCCGCAGCCTTCTGAGCCCAATTCCAATGGTGTCACAGTGACCTTCTCTCTCTTCTCTTCCCTACAGGGGAGGTACCTCAGCTTAGCCCTTGCACAGATCCCAATGCACACATGGTCCCTGCTGCCCAAGAATCTGCTTTCCACACAGCCAGGAGTGCCTTTCCCTACCACAGGCTCCCTGCCGCCCAAGGATGTGCCTGAGACACAGCCCGGAGTACTTTTCCCAAGCAGACTCTGCAACGCGAAGAGCTGCCTTCAACCCAGCTGGGAGTGCCTCCCCATCACCTGCTCCTCCAGGTGCCACCTCCTCCCCGCTAGGTGCCCGAGGCCTCCCTCCAGGATGCTGCCACTGCTCCCTGCTCTTCTCAGGCACCCTGCAGAACCCCCTTTGTCACTGCCTCCCCCAGAGCTCAACTTCTAAGGCACCAAACACCCAAGATTAACAGGCCTTTGTTGCTGAACTGGACATACACATTGAGCCTTTGTTTGTGGTCAAAGGTGTTGAATTCTTGCTGATCAACCAAAGAGTTTGTCACCAGGGAGCTTGTCCTCTGAATGAGCTGGAATTATACTGCACCTGCCAGAATAAAGCTCCCTGGTGCCGTGGGGATGCCAGGCATGAATGCATTCCACTCCTAACCGCCCCAACTTCATCTGTCACCAAGGGGTGGGACCATGAGGTCTTAGGCCAAATTCCTCTCTAAAAAAAGCCCCAAAGTCTTTGAAATGTGAATTCAATGCTGTATCTCCCTCCCTAGCTTTTTTTGCAATGAAAAACACTTGTGTATCTTATTTTCTATACTCTTCACATCCTTGTCCCTGCTTTCCTTTTTTTTGGCTATTCAAATTCTGAATGTGTCCCAGAAGGCAATGAGGGTCTTTCTGAAAATGTGAATTCTCTTTCTAGATACCCCACACTGTCCCCCAAACCAGGCAAATTTCAGCAGATTTTCCTCATTTCATTAGAGAAGATAAACTTCCCCTCTTAGTCATTTGTCCCCAAAGAAGGAAGCACAGCCCCAACAGAGATGAGTGTCAACAGACAGGATCCTACCATCCAGCATGTGCAGACAGTGGCTGCAGGATGGCCCAAGGTGCCACCCACACAGACCAAGGGCACCCCACATGGAGCCCCTGAACGCATCAGGAGGGGATCCCCTGGGGGGCTGTGGCTAAGGTTGTCCAGTCATACCTAATCTATCTTGAGAGTAAATCAACTGCTCTCCACCTCCCCCATCTACTAGAATGCAATATCTATGCTTTTCCATAGAATTTCTGAAAGGTAAGTACAAGTTAAAAATATACCAGGTTTAGGTTTTAAACAGTATTGACTAATTTGGATGGCAATGTCCCCACTCCATGTTTTTTTTTTTTCTTTTAAGGCTTCAATGCAATGGCTTGCCTCTGTGTATAGGGCTTTGGGGCTTTCTCTAGGTCACATGACTTTGACCTTCAATGCCATCATCCCGAGGAGTTACTCTTTCTTGTCCCCCTTCTCCGTCTTGCAGTCTCCTGTCCTGCTGCAGCCTGGACTCCGCATCTGGGTCCTGTCAGCTGCGATGTTGGAAAGTGGGCCTCTCCCACCCTTCCCCAGGCTCTCCCCTCTGTGTCTGCACATCTGTTTCCCTAGCTGGTTATGAGAGGCTTTTCCAAGCACACAACACCCTGCACAAGGCGTCCAGAGAAATAAGCCAGGTCAATGTTGAGGAAATGGAAAAGGGTGCTAGAGCCCCTGGGGGTGGACGGGACCTAGTCATTTGGTTTTTCTCCATTTGGAGGCTCATTCCCTGAGCAACCGTGGGTGCTAAAGAGAACATGCCACCCCTCCACACTTTACTTCTCAACGTTCTTCCTGCAGTGGGAGGCCTGGCTTCATCAATTTTTTTGTCTTGCTTTGTTTTTTAGACAGTTTTTGTTTCACAAAATGCACACACTTCTGGTACTGTAATTACAGAGATTTTCACAAAGAATTGAGTGTTCCCACCTCATTGCTGGACAGGTGGAGTTATTTATGACAAGGGTGCCTGATGCCTGGCGAGCAGGTCCATGGCCTGTGTGCGGCCCCATGGGCAGGGTACCGAGAGGTGGGTCACATGTCCGTGCAGGTGTGGGAATGGATGGACAGCCAGACAGTGCACCCTCTGGCGCTAGACTGCCTGGTCCAGCTGCCTAATGCCTACGGCCATATACAAATGTGCCCAGAGCAGCCAAGGCAACTTTATAAGGTGCCTGGAACTGTGTGTCTCTCAAGACTCAGGGAGAAAATGTTCACTGTACTCATGACACCAGGAAAAGTGTGGGGAAGCTTTCATTAGGCAGACAGGGAGGTCAGGCATGGTGGCTCACGGGAGGCCTGTGGGAGGCCAAGGCAGGCGGATTGCTTGAGTCCAGGAGTTCAAGACCAACTTGGACAACATAGCAAAACCCCATCTCTACCCAAAATATGAAAGTTAGCCAGGCAGGATGGCCTGCCTGTGGTCCCAGCTACTCAAGAGGTTGAGGTGGAGGATTGATTGAGCCCAGGAGGTGGAGGTTGCAGCTAGCTGAGATTTTGCCACTGCACTCCAGCCTGGGCAACAGAGCGAGACCCTATCTCAAAATAAATAAATAAATAAAAAGATAGATAGATAGCTAGATAGATAGATAGATAGATAGATAGGGTAAAGGAAGGGAATTAAAATAACCTGAAAGTGTAGAGAGATTTTATTTCTTCCTCAGATTGGGTTGTCTCTAACTAATGACAATTATGTTTCTGCCCTGGGAGGTTCAAGCCCACTCCTCTGCAGCTGGTCTGTGCTCCTGTGTTAACCCATGTGTAAACATGAAGAGGCTGCTTTCCATCTCTGTGGCTCTGAGACCCCATAAGGAGAAATGCATGTGCAATTTAATGAAGAGTTGTATGTGATCCTGGTGAAATCAACATATGTTTGTTAATGGGGTTTGAGAGCCTTTGGA